GTTTCGGGACCTCTCATTCAGGTTTTGTCTTATAGATTTATCAATGGGCAGGGTTTCCACAATAATTCGACGGTCTATGATGTAATGCACAGATTTGGTTCTAACTGGCCGGATGATTGGCTTCAACGTTATCCTCAGCTGCAAAATGTCCTTATTCCTTCTCTCACTCAAGGAGTGGATAGAATACGTTGGCTTGATAAAAATGGTGCTCGGGGTGATTTTAAGGTAAAAGTAGCGTGGGAGGCTATACAAGAGGTAAATCCGATTGTGTATTGGTATAAACTAGTTTGGAATAAAGCTTCCATTCCAAAACATGCCCTTTGTATATGGATGGCTTGCCAGAAGAAATTGAATACCCAAGATCGTATTAGTCAGTGGAAGCATGAACCCCCGGATTTAAAGTGTGTGTTCTGTAAATTAGTGATTGAAACGCATAATCACTTATTTTTTGAATGCTCGTATTCAAGCAAAATTTGGGATTGCATTAAAAAGGAGGTGGGATTATTGTCTTATCCGAACAATTGGGAGGATATTCTTCATAGAGGGTCTGCTCAATCTTGGAAATCTTGGTCTACGGTTCAGAAACTGGGTCTATCGGCAACGATTTATAATATCTGGAGGGAACGAAACAGGAAGTTCTTCGACAATTTCAATCATTCGGAGGATAAAGTTATTGCGGTGATCAAGATGCAGATTCTTCATCGTAWGGCTTGGAAGACTAGGAGGAAGATTTTGAAGTCCAACGCTATGTGACTGTATGGGTATTGCTCATTATGGGTTTTGGGTCTTTTGGGTTTTTCTTGCCTTTTGTAAGTTGGCGGGTGGTGCTGTTTTGTTTTGGTGTATTTCCCTTTGTCTTTTTTGGCTTCTTATGACTTGGTTTGTAAGTCAAAGTTGCCGTAGTTTCTCTTGCTGATTGGTTTTGTTTTGGTAACGCTTTTTATTGTCTTTATAAAATTGTCTGGGGAATCCTTTTCCCCTTTCAGTAAAGATAAGGATGATTCATCACACCATGAATAACAGTTGGAGATGACATGTCAACAGCTAGATTTCTAGTTTATCTTTAATACTAAAGTTTATCCATAGAATAGATAAACGTTATCTGTTAATAGAAGATTAGCTAAAATGTCTCATTAGATAGTTATCTTCTTATTAGCTGATTAGTATAAATAGGTGATTAGACCTATTGTAAAAAGAGTCGCTTTTACGAGTCGCTTGAATAGCTTTGCGTTCTTCTTATAATAAAGTGTGAAACCATTGAAGCTCAAGACTGTTCTTAATTGTTATTAATTTCCTCTTGAGTATTCATAACATCCTTCGTTAAATCACTATAATTTGGTTATTCTTAACTAGATTATTAGTGTTATTGAGAGATCTAGGATCAACAACTTTCCTATTCTTGTCAAATCTTCCCCCAAATCTTCGATTCCCATGCTCCTCCATCTTTCTCTTTCCCTTGGCGAATTCTCCAGATCGAATAGCATTATTTGTGAGTTTGTTGGCAATGTCTATTGCCTCCTGAAGGGTCTTTGGGTTTGCCGAGGTGATATTTCCTCGAATCTCTGGAGACAATCCCCAAATATATCTCTCAATTCAAACCTCCTCGGGTGTCACTAGATGTGGCACTAAGTTCGCTAACTCATGGAATCGGGCAGTATATGCAGCTATATTTTCCCCTTTCATCTCATGGTTCCATAACTCCATTTCCAACTTTTGGAGTTCACTTCTTGGGCAGTATTCGTTTTTAAGTAATTTCTTGAACTCTTCCCATGAGAGTTGGTTGGCAGATTCCCGACCCCTAGTCAGGACTAAGGAGTCCCACCATGTTAGTGCCCGACCTTGCAGTAAACATGCAGCATATTCTACTTTGTTTGTTTCAGAGCATTTGCTAATATGGAGGACAGATTCCATACTCTCAATCCAGGTTAATAATCCTATGGCTCCCTTGGTTCCATGGAATTCCTTTGGGTTACAAGATCTAAAGGATTTATAAGTGCAGTCTCTGGGTGTTCTAGGCTTAGAATTGGTTGGCTGATTAGCGTTCAATCCTGCCGCTACCTGGCTGACAATGTTGGGGAGTGCAGCCAATAGTTGTTCTGATACAAGTTGTGCAACCTTAGAGTTTTCTCTTCTTGGCGGCATTTTCTATGGCCTAAGTCAGAAGGGAATTTCATCATTATTATGGCAATAACAAGGACAATAACTTCCAGTCATTTAAATGATGCAAGGGCATTCATCGAACGGATAACATTCAAGCATTTATATAATTAAACAGAATAGTCTTATATTCAACCATGAATCGAGGTGAATAAGCATTTCTCAAAAGATGTCAGATGTTCATAGCTGATTACAACCTATCAAAACAAGTTCTTGGGTTTCTTTGCAAAAGAGTGGATAGTCTATCACTAGTCAACCTTTCTAAAACAACATCCAACCAATCAGCATTCCTAATATCAACATCATCATCCCGCTCACCACCATCCACCTGTACAATCTTCTAATCTCCCGTCTCGCAGCAATGAGGACATCCGTGTTTCTCATCATACGCTGGTGGTGCACTTCCATCACATCGGACAGGTTGTTCAAGATATGGTGGTCGTATCCCAGTCGGGTCTGGTGAACTTGAGTATCTGATGCGATTCTCCGCATCCATTCTCGTT